TCTTGCCACCAAACCTCAAGCAATGTTCACTGCTTCATCTCACACTGATGATGATTGGTACTTGGGTTCGGGTGTTATAGCACACCTTATTACTAATCCAAATCACTTGAGCTCCTCGAAACCATATCAAGGCATGGATAAAGTTCTTGTTGGCAATGATAGTAGTAGTCGTAGCAATAGTAGTTGTAATAATAGCAGTAGCAGTACCAACAATAACAACAGTAGTAGAAGTATAAGTATCAACAATAGAAGTATAAGTAAAAGTAGCTATAGTAGCAGAAGCAGTAATTGTATCAGTAATAGTAGCAATAATAGTAATAGTAGGCGAAGAAATAGTCGTAGAAATAACCGTAGTGGTACAGTATAAGTAGCAGTAGAAATAGTATGAACAAGAGGATGAGGAGGAGGCGAAGTAGAAGTTCCCGTAATTATAGTAGTAGCAATAGCAATAGCAATGATAATAGTAGTAGCAGAAATAGCAGCAGTCTAGTAGTAGTAGTAGCAGCAATAGTCATAGTAGTAGTAACAGCAGCAGGAGATTTAGTGCCAGTAGTAGTAGCAGCAATTTGAATCATTAGTAGTGTCACCTATATGTCCAATTTTTTGGTAGTGTTTGGAGGGGGCTGGGATTTTGTAGAAGAGACTAATTCTAAGAGAAACATTTTAATAGACATATGAGATATTCATCTAAGTAATTATAGAATATATTACTACATAGTTGATTATCAAAATTATTCAATAAATAAAAATGGGTAATTTTGTGGGTTTGTTTACTTCTCTCCTTCACTTGAACATCACCAATGATAGAACACTCTAATGATCAGAGGATGATCATTTTAGAACTAGCATTGCCCTAATCTCAACTCAATGAATATGCCATGTCGGCTCCAAAAATTTGCGCCTTAAGCCGAGTTTGTGTTCCAAAAAAAATTTTAGTAGGCAGATTCAATTTTAGATTAAACGCTGACTAAAAACTGTGCCATCATTCCACGAGAACTTTAATATCTAGTTCTAAGTTTTTCATATACACAAATCCTTATGATTAATTATCTCTCAACGATGAGAGAGAACTTTCGATTAGTACTAGTCATTAGATTTAAATACTTAGTGTATGGAAGCATCAATTAAATTTTAGATTAAAGACCCGAACGCTTTCCTTTGGCCATTTCAAAGGAAAATATCATTGAGAGAATACAAGAATGTCAACTAAGCTTGACGCTCCATGGTGAGGAGTGGCCGTCGATCCTCTCCTTGCTCTGGTGGGGGTAGTGGCAGTAGAAAAGCTACAAGGCTTGGCAATTATTGGAGGGCTTTGGAAGGAAAGGATTCGGATCTCTGTGAGCTGGTTTTGAAGGATGTTGCAGGTGGGAGGCAGCAGACGTTTCATCAGCTGATCACGAGCAGCTTTATGAGGAGCTCGACGTTGGGTCCGATTGTACAGCTGGGGGCATCATGCAGGGCTCGACTGAAGTTTACGGTCAGGGATTGGTCGTGACTCCTCAAGCTCCTATAGATCTCGCCCCTCAAGTCGAGCTCATGTTGGAAGTTTCTCTTCCTGTTCCGAACATTCCTTTGTCCGAAGGTAGGGATTTTTCTGGATTGAATGTTGTGGATGGGAGCTTGGATGGCTTGTCTTCCTGCAGGTGTATAAAATTTCACAATGCATCAGCTCAAGAACAGTTTGCTACACGAAATTGCACTCCAGATGTTTGTGATAATGCTTCCAAGAATTTCTCTGTTATCTTGGGAGCTGTTGGTGCAAAATTTCAGCCATATTCTACCAAATAGAATTCACCTAAGCAGTCCCGTGTTTTTGGTGATTGAAGCACAAGCCATTTCGCTTGGAGGAAGCCTTCTTATGTTCCTTTAGACAAGATTCTTAAAGAAGATGTGCTTGATGAGGATGACATTTCCTTGAGCCTTAACATTGATAAAGTTCAACAGAATATTTCTAAATTAGAATGTGCTCTAGTTGGGAAGCTTCTAGGCAAGTGAATCTCTTATGCTTGGCTTCATGGTAAACTTTCAAGAAGATGGTCACATGTTGGGGATTTCCAATTAATCACCATCAATCCAAATTGCTTTATTTGTATTTTTCAAAGCCTTGATGCACGTGATATTATCCTCAGAGACGGACCATGGATTGTAGCCGGCAGCATTATTGACCTGGACAAGTGGTCACCTACCTTCTCTCTTGATGATTTGAAGGGGTTCGCCTCACCTATTTGGGTCCGATTTCCACGGCTTCCTTTGATGTATTGGGACCCTTCCAATATCACACGTATGGCTACTATGATTGGGGAACCTCTTTGGATGGATGAGCAATCATCCTCTTGGGGTCAGAGTTCTTACGCTAGAGTTTGTGTCCACATTGACCTGACACAAAAATTGACCCCTGGATTTTGGGTTAAGGGTCTTAATGGTAGATTTTTTCAAAGAGTTGAGTACGAGGGCCTTTCACATTTATGTTTCAATTGTGGAATCATTGGTCATAAAGTGGAGTCTTGCCCTCGTAAGGCTAAGTTGTAGCTTGATAGCCATTTTGACAGCAATCTTCCATCTTCTGTTATGGAGTCACATACTAATGTCATTCCTTTGTACTCAACCATCTTCTGATATGGACCAAATAGGATCTTGGAATGTAGTCACTAGAAAGAGAAATACCAAGCAGAAAGCCCATCTTCCCACTTCGCCTTCTACGGGACATGACCATGAAAAGAGGTTCCCCATTCCAGTTTCCAACCCAAAGCCTATAGTCTTCACTGCTAAGAATTCTCAACATAAGGATTTCTCCAACAAAAGTTTGAATCTCTCCAAGCAAAGACCTAGACCGTCTCATGGTCCCTTACAGAAAGAATTAAAGCAGTTGGGGCCTGTCACCAGTGCTCCAAGAAAGAGGAAAAAGGGAGCCGAGGAGTTCTTGGGCGGGGATTTCCCCTCAATGAACCAATGTTGAGGTTTTCTTGTGGATATTATAGTGGCTGTCGATAACAAATGCAATTGCTGTTGGGCCCTACCTAAAGTGATCCTTTATTTGCTTTATTGGTGTCCTCTACAATAATTTGGGTGACCTCACATTGTCCGTTAAGGGGATTTTTCTTTATGTTCTTTTCCCTCTTGTTGTGCCTTTGTTTGGCTTCTTTGTCTTTTGGTTTTTGGTTTTGGGGAGGAATTGTTAAATTCTTCCCAGTTTGTACTCTCTTGTAGCCCTTCTTTTTTATCTTAATGCATTTCAAATTTAATATATATATATATATATATATATATATATATATAGTAAACATCAAAGAAGTAAAACATGATATCTGATTTAATTATTTGAAGTTACATTTTAGTTTTATTACAATTAAGATATTATATTTTATTTTTATAGGATTATAAGTATTCATGGTTATTCTTTATGATAATTGTTCATGAATCATGATTATCATTTATTAATTTGTTAAATTACTATTAAATTTAGCAATTTATTTTAACTTTATTGAATAATAATTGATAAACTGAATTTTGAATGTATGCCAAATCTTAATGCTTAGACATATATATATATATATGAGAAAAGGACAAAAATAGTCATTAACCATATTAAAGAATCATTTTAATCCATCGACTCTTTAAAGAATAACCAAAATAGTCCCACCATAGACTATTTTGATTCCTTTTAAAGACTTAAGGAATCAAAATGGTCTTTTAATATAATTTGGGACCATTTTGGTCATTTATAGAGTCAAGGGACTATCCTTTTTCCATATATATATATAAAGTATTCTCTCTCTATTGGAGAGTCATGAGTACAAGGTGACCCCGAAATACAGTATTCATAAATCTCAAATGCATGTGACTTTGCATCCCCTTCTCTATACTATTGCTAAAAAATATAGTATGTTGAATGCACCCTTAAGGCATCTAAAAATAATATAGGTAACGCTACTCTTGATTTATGGCAGATCATATTACTTGCTTCTCAGACAATTAATTCAAAAATTGAAGACTTATCTTAGTCTCTTAGACACACACTCTCTCCCTCACTCATTCTATTATTAACTATCTCTTCTCTCTACCTCTCTCTCTCCCCCTTCTTCTATCTCCTTCCCTCTCTCACTTTCTTACTCTATCTTGCTCTCATTACGCCATTCTCTCACTCCCTCCCTCTCTCCCTCTCTCTCACTTGATATTTCTCCCTCTTTTGCTCCCACACTCTCTCTATCCCTCGCACTCTTTCTCTACCCTGCCTCTCTTTCTCGCCCTCTCTCTCTCATACTCTCTCCCCCTCCTACTTTAGCTCTCTCTTGCTCACACTCTATTTCTTACTCTATCACTCTATCTATAACTTTCCCTCTCTCGATCTCTCTTTAGCCCTCTCTCTCACCCTCCCTTTACCTCCTTATTTAGCCCTCTCTCACCCTCCGGTCCCTCCCTTTACCTCCTTATTTAGCCCTCTCATACTTTCCTCCCCCCTTCTCTCTCTCTCTCTCTCTCTCTCTCTCTCTCTCTCTCTCTCTCTCTCTCTCTCTCATCCTCATTTGTCTCGCACTCTTCCTCTCTCTCCTTCTATTTCCCTCTCACCCTCTCTCATTCTTTCTTTTCTGATTTTGTGCACAGTGTAGTTAAAAGAACTAGATTAACTTCTAAGTACCCTATTAATAAATAATAAAGGTACTGGCCACACCAGAGCAACGCTGATTGCTGATAGAAAACTTTAACTTCTGAAAAACTTAATCATAGAGTGACACACAGGAAAAAAAGAAAATTGCTTGAACATGGGATAAGTTCAAAAGATGAGTATTGAAAGCAAGCATAGTAAATTTTAAAACTGTAATACACAAATTCTAGCATGTAGATATATATGAAAAAGAAATGGATGATGATATTCTGATAAAAGTAGTCACAAATACTTTAAAATTATTAGATTTATTTTAAAATAACAATAATCAGTCAAAATGTATATATCACATCTCAATTAATCCAGCAATATTAAGACTTGTTCAACCAACATAATGTGAGGACCAGCACTTTGTAATATAAAATTCCTAAAAGTTAAGGACATGATTAATATTTTACAATAAAGAAGTCATCAGAGGATAGCTACAATAATCGACAAATCCTCATTCCCTTCATACATATTTCAAAACATCACAATGATTCTAACAAGCAAAAGTTACAGAATAAACAACTACTACAGATCTTTACATGTATAATCACCAAAACCAGAAACAATAATTAATCCACCATATTTTAGGATTTAACCGTTACCAAATATAGATGCAATCATTTCTCTCAAAACTTGGCCTCTATGAATAATTAGTAAAGATAAAACACTTGCCTTTGTTGTTCCACAACATTATGGAGCCAACAACTGATTTCCACCAGAAGCCAAGTATCAGTTGAAGTTGTTTCCAAAGTCCAGCTTTCGACAAAGATTATGACTCTGTCTCTCTAAGATCAATTTTGGTTTCATAGGAGCAGGCGGACAAGCTTCTGTATTACTTGACAGCAAAGTCAAAGATAAGGGTGTCTTGCAATCTTCAGCAAGATCAGAATCTGTCACCATGGTCTCAGCTGAAATCTCTTTGAGCTGAATGGAAATTATCATTTCAAATAAAGAATTGAAAACTGACTCGAAAATTTGCTCCTCTTCATCAAAATCCTTAACTGAATCACCTTCTACATTTTCTTTAGACTCGCTTCCAGCATTAAAATCCAGCCGCCTCCGAAAAGGTACATATGAATTCCTTAACTTCTTCTTCTTGGGCGCGAGCATTAAATCATCAGTTCCAGGAGCAAATGGATCAAATATGCTTTTAGTTGGAGTCTCAATTTCCAAAACCATCTCGTCATCCTCCGTCTGATCTGACGATGATGAAGAGGTTTCAGTAAATCCGTCATTCTGGAAATGAATGGTAGAATCAAACAAGCTCAAATTGACAGGCGGAAATGACATGACATCTTTGAATTCGCAACACACGCCTTTGTCCAAACAAGAAGCTTGGCAAGAAGAATCTTTCACTTCCAGAACACTTGTTTCCTCCAAGCAGGAGACTTTGGAAGGAACGGAGTCAATATTGTCCTTAATAATCTCAAACCCAGTTAAAGGTTCCATTTCCATGCAGCTATCTGCTGAAATCTTACCCCCTTCTTCAAAAGTCATCTCGCAATCCTCTGTCCAGATTCAATCCAAAAGAATTCTAAATCCTGAATAAATTCCGTTGCCAAACAGCCCCTAGAAGCTCAAGAGAGCGGAATCTTAACGGAAGAAAAAAGAAAGATGAATTAAACTTAAATAAAACCTAATCACAATAAAACCCATCTATTGAAACTCATAAACATTTCCAAAAAAAAAAAAATCATAAACCTTGTAGGAGAGACAAAAATCTAAAACAATCCCTCATTTCTCTAATCCAGAAAGCAAAAAAAAAAAAACAATAATTCACCGATCAAAAAAAACAATAATTCCCCGATCTAGAAACAGGCCACGCGCAAATCAAAAGGTGCAAAACTACACGAGAAAAAAATAAAAACCCTAACTCGGTCATCAGATTGTTTGCCCTCTCCTCTCCAACCACTGTGATGTAGCAGAAGAGAAAAGAATTACGTACCTAAATATCAATGCGTGACGACAGACGCGGCGGCGAAGTACAGCATAACCAGCGAGAGGAAAGTGACGACGGGAATGGCGGGAGAAGGTAGTCGACGAGGACATTACATATATATATATATATACCTCAGAAATGGCGCGTAGGGCATAAATCAACGGCCAGAATGTGACCACGATCTTAACATCCGTTGGTCCATTTTCTTCCCAATATAACGCGGCCACGAGGTTCTATAAAGCTCATTTCATGTGAAAGATGCCACCGTCTGATCCATGCTGTTCCGTTCAAATTAACCAAATTCGGAAAACGTCCGTTACACCCTCTAATAAGTTCCAGGGCGAATTTTAATTCACCCAGAATTAGACCGAAAATGGAACCAGCATATTTTGGCTCCAAATTATACGTGGCAGTCGGTTACGTGATCAGTTCTTACAAAAATTGTGTGTTTAAAGTCGTGTTGGGTGGGTTCTTCATCTAAACACGTGTGTCCGTTAATTAAATACAGAGATGCATAGGATTCTCTCGTTCGTTGTACGTAAGATATTGCAGAAAATTAAATAATAGTAATAGATGCAGCTTAGTGGTTGTGCTGACCATTAAATTTGGGTCAAATTTCTGCAAGAAAAATTTTATAGCAACTACTATTATTATTATTATTATTCTTAGGTAGTTATGTTAAAATTTCTGAGAATAAACTAATATTATTTGTTCCCTCTTGAAAAATTCGCAGCAATAGAGAAATATAAATTTTAGTATCCTAACTATATGTGAAGATCCAGCATGCAAGTAGATAAATAAGAGGACATACGGTGTTTATAAGAGAAAAGAGCTTTTACGTGGAAACCCTTAAAAGGGGGGGAAACCACAGAGTCTTGTCCAGTTTGAATGAATCCACTAGTGTTTGCAGTTGATTACAAAGGAAGCCCTTCTTTGAGGGGAAAGCCTTCGCTCCATGTGGCCAATATACATCATGTAGAATGCATTACATGGTAGGAGTTCGAAGAATTAAGTGTTGACCTACTCATTTGGTTGGCTAAATCATAATTGGCGGACGATGTTAGTCGAAGGACTGTAGTCAGCAAGTAACAATGGTAAGAAGAATCATAGTTGGCGGGGGACGGAGGTCGGAAGGACTGTAGTCTGACATTGATGGTTGGAGAGATTGTGAATGGTGGGTGATGGAGGTCAGAAGAACTATTGTCAGGCGACGGTAGTCTTAGAGACCGTAGTCTAGCAATGATGGTAGGAGAGACCGTAAACGATAAGCGATGGAGGACGTTGGAAGAACCGTAGTTAGGCGATGTTGGTCGTAGAGACCGTTCTCTGGCACTAATGGTTGGAGAGACCGTAAATGGCAAGTGATGGAGGTTGGAAGAATCATAGTCGGGCGATAGTGGTCGTAGATACCATAGTCTAACTGTTGACCTCGATTTTGCCCAGACATGGGCATGATAGGTTGAGTTGACCAAGTCAACCTTTGACTTGGTCAACCCAAGTCTTAATGGGTCAAAATTGACCCATTAAGCCCCTTTTAAGTCCAAATCAAATTCAAACTCTTTCATGGCTCAATCCCTCATCCCCATGGCCCCCCTTGACTGGTTTGACCAAGTCAAAGGTTGACTTGGTCAAATCAAGCCCTTAATAGGTTGTAATGACCTATTAAGGCCCATTTAAGGCCTAATTAATGCCATTAACTCCTCCCCATCGTTTTGAATTGCAAACCACGGCCTAAACCGACCTAATTCCCTCCAAAATTCATCTAGATTCGATCCTAGCCGTCCCTTGGTCGTTTAGGAGTTTAAATAGAGAAAATTTAGGTCTTTGGAGGATCCTTTTCCCTCTTGCTCGAGCTCTAGACCGTCTTAGGTTTCGAGATCTTGTGAGAAGACTCCCACACCCTTTCCCCATCTTCCTCAATCAAAGCCCGACCGCCTCGAGCCGCCGGCGACGTCAACTCCGGTGAAACCGAACCCATTTCCGTTCCAGGACGAATCCCGGTCGATCTAGCATTTTTTGGATCTCGACGTCAACTAAGAAGTTGTTCCTGCTGATTCCACGAGTCCAACGAGCCCAAGATCGCCCAAATCCA